TTGTTTTTTTTTACATTAGATGACTAACGCTTTCAAACCCATGGAGTACGAAATGAATAGGTTAACATGGTTGGATATATTCATCCTACTATCTTAGTCTAGAAATATCGAACATCTGTCAGATGCTATCAAAAATAAATCCTAATGACACCGTCAACACGAATAACTGTTCTCTATCGTTTCGTTCATAATCTTTAATACATTTCAACATATTTTATGAAAGACCTCTTAAAAACTATTTCGTTCCTTAATATATCCGTTAACTGCTATTTAACCGATCCTTGTCATCATGGTAATCTCAGTCTTTAAATATATGTTAATTTCTGTTTACCTAATCCTTGTAATCTTGAAATAGATCCGGTAATTTCTGTTTAACCGGTCTTTGTATTCAAGTTAATCTCGGTCTTCAAATACATATCCGTTAATTGCTGTCTAATCAATCCTTGTACTTAAGGTAAACTTAATCTTGAAATATATCCAGTAATTTCTGTTTAACCGGTCTTTGTATTCAAGTTAATCTCGGTCTTCAAATACATATCCGTTAATTGCTGTCTAATCAATCCTTGTACTTAAGGTAAACTTAATCTTGAAATATATCCAGTAATTTCTGTTTAACCGGTCTTTGTATTCAAGTTAATCCAAGTCTTCAAATATATATCCGTTAATTGCTGTCTAATCAATCTTTGTACTTAAGGCAAACGTTTCTTTTAATTAAGATCAACATAGCTTGCATTGACAAAAATATTAAAAATTAATCTCAATACTAGACCATCTGTATATTCGAACAATACTTCGAGTTTAGAATGCATCCGGATTATGAATGGTTCTCTCTCTCTCTCTGTGTGTGTGTGTGTGTGAGAGAGAGAGAGAGAGAGAGAGAGAATCAAAAGAAGTAAATTAAGGCTTCACATCGTTAACAACATCATTATATTTTGGAATCTTACTAGTGATTTAAGAGCAATCAAATTATTTTTTATGAAATAACAAATTACTATGTGGTGGTCGAAAACAAGCAGTATACGAGATCAAATAGAGAGAGAAAATTAACTTACCGTTCGTTACCAAAACTGTCTCATCGAGTAATCATCTATTTATCCTTTGGACACTAAAGTTGTATGATGGTAATTTTACCTATAGACAGTCTGCTACAAAACTTGTTCATATTTTGTTTTACTTAACAAACGTATTTGACAACATGAAACACCACGTGTACTTTAAAGATGATGACAAAACTATAAGCATGCAAGTTATCGAAAAATCGGTCGAAGACATGGGGGAGGACTGCTTCCCCATGATTCACCATATTCACGTGTTCGCGTGCTTCTGGACCACCCCTTGTTCATCGAAGCTTATTTATAAAAGTAGGAAGTTCTCCTTCTTCCTCGAATAGCTCGGTGGGGAGCCAACCCTAGAAACAACCCAAGCTAAACACGTGCTGGATGCGAGGATCCAATATGATGTTAAGTGTGATAAATATTTGCTTATTGCTTCTAGCTAATTAGTATACATTACCTGTAGCACGATATGTATGCACTAAGATTCAGCCAGTATATTTTTATTTGGTAGAAACAGGATGGGTTCAAAAGATTTTATTGGATGTTTTATAGAAAGTTAAAAAGAAACTTCGACAAATACTTTGTATGACGATCAATGTCGCAATATGGCGACACACAGTCTGGCGGATGAGAAATGGGACTACAATGTCGCAATATGGCGACACACAGTCTGGCGGATGAGAAATGGGACTACAATGTCGCAATATGGCGACACACTGTCTGACAGTGAAATATTCAGTCGCAACAATATATTAACTTCACTGCTGGGCACCATAAGAATTAAGACAATAAGGTAAATAACATTTTCATAAGTTTGGTATAAAATATTTAATTATTTGGATGATATTAAAACTGAACAGAACGTATAGAAAGTCTAAATCATTGTTGTAAGTTAAAAACTATTTCAGGTACAAACAACGTATTCAAGTGTTGTATACATTTAAGGGATTAAGGGAATATACCAAAGTGAGATTCATCTTCACGAAAATAAAACAATTTCTGTCATAGTAAAAAAAAAAAAAAAAGGTACCATTCATTTAAATGCTTAGGTTTCCTTTTCAGCAAAGAAAATAAACTACAATAACCTGAAGCTCGCCGCCCACTAGTTATACAGGCGCGTGGCTTCTATGTATGTGAGCACATGCATGACATATGCTCACAATGGCATGAACACGCGCCATTAACTGAAGGCGCATGACTGTAATGACTTGTATGCCTGCATGTAAGGTACATCTACCATGACGTAAATATACGTCACTTGACTACAAGATTTTTCCAATCAAATTTAAACAATGTCTTTCTACGTGATTAGTAATTGTGTACCTTTAGTACACACACACACACACACACACACACACACACACACACACACACACACACACACACACACACACACACACACACACACACACACACACACACACTACTTACTTAT